TTCACAATTCCAAAAAACGAACTAGTTCATAGTTCTTTTTTTTTTTTTTTTTTCATATATTGCTCAATTACACCATAGCCTACTGTAGAACCACAGACAGCAATTATTTTATCAGTTGTAACTCTGAAACTGTGCGTCAGATTTCATCTTCATATCCAGTTTTGAATCCTTATCCAACCAGGGTTTACATTAGCATTGAGGGGACAGCATTTCCCCATTGTTGCTTTAATGCTTTGTTGCTGTCCATCACTTCACACTAGTAGCAGCTGCAGCTTTCAACCCTACAGTATATTCTCAAAAACATCAGGAAAAATGTGCTGCTTGAATGGTCTTTTTTATGAGTAATTATTAAAAGAAAAATAGGAAAGTAGTCTTTAAGGTGCAAATGTTTTTTTTTTTTTTTTTATAATTTTTTCCATTTGAAATTCCATTTCAATACATACTAAAAAGGAATACTGGAATCCTGGAAAATTATACCAGGCAGGTTTAACAAACAAGTTACATGGATAGTGAAACCCTCAAGAACAGGGTCCTCTTTTCCAGACCAAGGACCCCCAAACTGATGGCGAGATGGAGCGGGGACCCCCTATTTATATATATTGTATGAAATTGTGTCCTATAGTCACTCTATTACAGATGGAGTAATGTAAAGAAATTAATTTCTCCCTGGGATTATAAAAGTTTTTCTGATTCTGATTCCTGGTTGATGGGACAGGTGTTGTGAAGGAAACGGTGCCCAGCTTGAAAGAGCTCCTGTGTGTCGCTGAATGTGAGCATTGATGACTGAAAGACATCTTCTGCCTCCATTTATCTGTTTACTACAGTGCGTTGATTTCATGTTAATGAGTATTTAAAGACATTTCAATTAGTGGGGGAAAGAAATGCAGGGGGGGAATATAAAAATATCAACTAACCATGCAGACGCTCATGCAGTACCTCCGTAGACCCCCTAGGGGTCGCGGATCCCCCGTTGAAGACCGATCAAGAACATTTTACTAACACAAACTGAGGGACCAGGCTGAGGTAGGAATTTAAGGTTACTGAAGTGCGGATTTTTTTACTGAAAGCCGGCGGGCAAACTTGTTGCCATCATCCTCACCGACCACCTGGTCATAAACCTGTTTTAAGTCGCCTACATGCTGCTGTTGCTTCCACGCTGCATTTTGTTTTGATGACGCACGCGGCTGTAGGCTACGACGCTGGTAGCTGGTGTTGCCAGATTGGGTGTTTTTCCCGCTACATATTAAGGCCTGTTTACGGTGTGATTTAGCCGGGGTTTCGCCTGGAGGGCTTTATAGAAATCTGGCAACCTGTTAAACGGACTTGAACTGAGAGAGCGTGCCGTTCACAGACGCCAGAATGAACGAGTTCACAATAACGTTCACCAGGCAATAATGCAGTACGTTCAGTTCACGTTCGCCCAAAATATGAACGAGTTCATGAACTTTCGTTCAATGAACGCGTTCAGGCACAACACTGCTCTCCAGGTTCTATCTGCTGACAAACTTCATAGAAATACTTATTTAATTTAGTAGCAGAACTTTTCACCTGCCGACAGTCAGAGTGACTAATACCCGATTTAATGACCATCTCTTTTTTTTTTGTTAGACACATTGGGAAAAATCAAGGAGAGATTGTTGTTGTGAGGAGCAGAAATTACGGGGATTGATTGGAAGTTAACCACGAGGACCCGTCTGCTAGGATTCCTCTCTGTGTGGTTTGTGTTTTTGTGTTTGTCTACCTTCCTCCACCAGGAGGCGCCTGGTTCTGGTCCGCCTCCTCACACACCTGTGGAGGGTTACCTCGTTAACGGAGTGCTCTTAAGCTGCTGACTGCCACTACCTCGACGCCAGAGTGTTTGCCAGTTTTGGTTCTTTAGCCAAGTTGAGTTTTGCTGAGTCAAACTGAGTTTTTGTCAACCTGAGTCTTAACCTTGTTATTTTGTCTTTGCCTCTAGGCAGGAAGTCATCCTGCAAACTGGATGTTGTGGACCTTCTCTCCCTGGAAGGATCATCTGAGTTTCAAACTGAGCTGAGGATTCAAACTGGTGGTTTGGATCTCCTTTCCTCCAAGAGATCGTTTGAGTTTCACACTGAGCAAGGGATTCATCTCCACAACAACCCGCTCAAGTACCGCAGGAAATCTAAGTGGCAGTCAGTTTCTCCGTTTACCTACAAACAACTGCATTCTGGGTAAACCCTGTCCGCCCTCCATCGAATCAGACAAAAACTGGAACACACCGACTGGAGTGAGAGTCAACCACTTATCTGGAAATTAGTCTACAATCTATTTCTCCTCTTCAAGTTCGAGAATCAAGTTTCCCACTGAGCCTGAACTAACCGTAGCATCTTCCCCACACTTTCCAGTTCCGGTTGAGCAGTTTTCAGTGCAACACTGGATTCTTCACAATCCCCTCAATAAACCTGTTAAAGCTTTCCCCTGGTTTCTCTCTGTATTGGTTTTTCTGCTTTTTGGGTCAGACCTTAGTTAAATAATGACACCGTCATGTTTGAGATGCTGTGGAGGGAGAGTAGGATCTCTTTATGGAAGACTAAGATCCACCTGCAGCCTGTACAGTAGATGGAACCTCTACCTAGAATGACAGAGGAAACATTGGTTTAGAGTTTGTTGAGTCGGATGCGAGCAGTTTTTCACCCTTAACTGTAGGGTGATCATTATGCAAATATCAGAGGTCAAGTGGCTCCTATTATGCACTAGAGGCAGATGAAGAGGATTTGCATACAGGTGTGAGAGCTGCAGCCTGCAAAACCAGCCGACAGCCAGAGATCTGCTGCTTCAAGGAGAGTCGCATAGAAGCCATACAAACAGAACTAAGACAGGTTTCTGTGGACTGACTGGGAAAATCTGTGACATTTTGAGAAGATGTGTTAATCTAAAATAATTTCAGATATATAATATCATGATGACCACTAAACACTTGGAGTGTAGATTGGATTCATGACTGCTTTCAAGCTACTTAAGGACTTTGATATAAATTCAAATTCCTCAAAAAATACCAAAAAAGAAAAGGTTCAGAACTTAGAACTAGTTCTGCCAAGTTTATTTGGACCAAAATGCAGGCAGGTCTTTGAACGCAGCATGAAGAGTTTAATGTCTAGTGAATAAAAAAAAAAAA